CGATGCTAACACCCCCACCCCGGCATCCCAGTCTATATCTATGCACAAGGGGTGTAACTCGAGGAGGTATCGACGCCCGAACGATGTTAAAACAACCGGCAGAGTTTCGTTACTCCGGTTTTTAGCAGCTGTGCCCATGGAGAGAATGCACGATTCCCCTTCTCTCTCTCTCTCTCTCTTTCTCGCTCTCGTTACATCCTATATGCGCGAGAATTCGCGCCGCGTGATCGATGAACGGAGCACGAGTAACGTGTTTTAGAAGGCGTTTGGCCTCAACGAAAAGCTCGGGGGATCTCGTTCCCGAAGGTGGATAAGATCAACCTTCGTTTACGAATGGTAACTGTGGGGTGGTTTCTGCGCCTGATAACGTCTTCTCATCCTTTTCCTGAAGGAAGCCACCCTCTTTCCCGCGTTCGCCTATACAGAGACAGACTCGTGTACGGATCAAAGTGCGCCAGATCAGGCCGCAAATCACCCATCGAGAGTTTCATTCAGAGAAATCGAAGGGAGACAAGAGTGACGCAACGACGTGCGGGCGAGTCACTTCGCGGCGCCGTTCGCCGTGAAAATCAACATTTTACGGGAATTCCCCTTCCAAAAGGCGAAAATATTCATGCCGTCGCAATCGCAACCGCATAATACGGTTTCCGTATGTACGATATGTACAGGCTGATTTGGTTAGTCACGTACTCTCGTACACGTCTTGAATGTATACTCCCGTGCGAGATACGCGGAGTTATTTGGAGTTGGGATGAAAATCCTCACGGAGAAAGATTCCGGACGTTGCTTAGGGGTTTCGACGAGTTCCACCGCTTTAAAGAACGCGCGACGCTCGGTTATCAATGATCGTAAGTGAAATCTTTTTCACCGACACGATCTCTCGATCAACCTTTGTGATTCCCGTGCGAGCCGGGAAATTTGCAACTGTGTGGAAATACCGCTGTATACTTCACAAACGTGACTATTACATGATATATAAAATATTCTCGAAGAGCGTGGCGTGCGCGCGCGCGCCAAATGGTCGTACGTGCCGAAGCGTGATTTCTTCGTGCAGATTTTCGCGTTCTCCACAGGTAGAAATGTCATTTTTCGCGTCAGCGGTACAGCGTGATGCCAAGCGGAGCGACGCGGAACGCGCGCGCGACACAACGCGCGGATAAATAAACGTCCGCTCGCGCGCTCGTTAAGCAAACGGAACGGATTGTCGTCGTTATTGCGATCGTTTCATCTCCATTAACGATGACACCTTTCCGGCATCACGGCGACGAGCGAACCCGGCGCGGTGCAAATACGCGCGGCCTTGCGCGAGGGCGAACGAGAGAGAACGATAGAAAGAAAGTAGGTCTCTGCCAGAGACGTCGCCATTGAGAGCGTTGTGTATTTTCGCTAACGGAGGAGAGTACTACGAGGGAGATTTACAATGACAATGCCGTACGCACACGTGCGGCCGAGAGTGCGCCGGAAAAATCGCGTTAAAGCAAATCCTTGCGAATTTTTCGGCAAATTTTTTACGAAGCACCTTTCGAATCTCCCTCTCTCTCTCTCTCTCTCTCTCTCTGTCACTCTCTCTTCCTTGTAGTGACGTAAACGGATGCATTTGAACTGTCCTCTCCATTTTCCTACCTTTACCTGTGACACTCGAGACGAGTCGAGGTATTTTGAATAGCACGAGCTTTTTAAAAAATCAAGAAGATGCGCTTAAGAAGTATTGCCGCGACAAAACGTTTGCGAGTAGTAGAGACGATTATATGTACAGAGTCTGAGTGGATTGGACTCAAAGAACGAAGGAGTTTCTTTTTCACATGATGGCACTCCTCAATCACTTCTTGCTTCTCGCGGACTTCCTCTCGCTTTTCTGCTATCACTTCTCACCCGGGATGCTATCATTGTAGTTTTTACGACGTCTCTCTCTCTCTCTCTCTCTCGCTCGCTTGTATTGTAAAAACGCCCGCGAACTTTCTCCCCACGGAGGATGTAGATTCTCTACGGCTCGTATTTTTCTTACATGACTTGAAAATATTTCGCTTCGACCAATTATTCAAGTATCCTGAGAACGTCCGCGCGCTCCATCAGATACTACGAGCGAATCCTATTTATCCAGCGGAGATAATTTCGACGCGAGCGAATCCTTCTAATCGGGCTGCTTCTAAAGGATCTGTATCTAAAACTACGAGGAGAGAGATAAATTAACCGTATGCAAAGCGCGAGTCCGTTTTAATCACCAGCCGTGCGCGGCGGGTCGGATCGTTGTTTCCGCACGCAAATTGCCGCCTTTTCCCCGACGATACGATGTTCCTGGTAGCGCGCTCGTCTTCCGAGCGCACGGAAAGACCGATGAACAATCGCTGCAGTGTACTACCGCGACCGCACGATTTTCCGCGCCCTAACTTCGTCCCTCGACTCGCAGACAGAGGGAAAAATCCAAGCCCGTGCTCGCGGCACGGCAGTATAGCATACATACGGGAGTTTACATAGTTCGTACCACCTGGTAGATACATCGCTGCTCGGGTAAACGACGGAGCGGAGAGAAGGAAAGATGGGCGAGGGGCAGAGAGGGGAGGAAAGAAAGAGAGATAAAGAGGTGAATCGCGTGGTGGTTGTGATAGTAGCGGCCCCGGTTGGGAAGACGAAGGCGGAAGACGAAAGAGGCGGGGGCGGCGGGTGGATAGAAGAAGAGGGGCGGCAAAAGAGCCGCGGTAGGGGGCGACGGTGGCTCGAAGCGAGTGGGGTCGAAGCTGTGGCTGAAGGAGGGAATGACCCCGCGTACCGGGGTCAACCGTTGCACTATGCTCCCCGTGTCTCATAGTCATGGACGAACACTCGCTCGCGCGAGCTTTGATATACGGACGCGCGCTGTGTACACACGGGCCTGGAAGAGACCACCTGAGCACACCTGAGTCAGGTGGTGCTGCCTGCCTGCCTGTCGCGTCGCGTCCGTATGCGCGCTGTCGTCGACTCGCGCACGAGCTGGCAATATTTATGAATACACGCGGGATGAAGATGGCGAGACGACACTGCACATTATTTCTTGTTATTGTCAGCCGATATATTTTTAGAATTCCTGGTCCCTCCCAGCAGACACCGCGTCAGCCATTTCCATCCCGGACACTCGCCGAGACGCGAAATGCGAAGAGGAGAAAAAGATTGTGCGATTCGGATGTATGTGTGTGTATGTTCGGGGAGAAGATATTTCCATCTAGATCTCTACGAGTGAACAATGTATGTTAAAGCTTGGCGGTATGTAACTCCAAGCAAGATACATGGAGGTATCGCGCTGCACTGCACCCGTCTAGTTTTAGACCCGCCAGAAATATGTACTGAGCACGGCGGGAAAGTGTCTGGAATCGCACGTACGTCCATTTGCGCCGGAAAAAGAGTGTCGAGGTATCGGTTTCTATTAAAATTGTCTGCACATTACCGAGATAAATCTTGAAAAGTGTCCCCGTTTGAATCGCGTCACATGAAAAGGACAATTCTTCAGTACTGTTAAACGCTAATATATTCGAAATAACGCGCGATACACGTTTAGTAAAAGAGAAAGTTCATTGGCCGCTGGACCAGAAATATCGATATTACGGACCATTCGCAGCGAATAAGCGAGAACGATTTTGGCGTCTGGCTGTCTGGAAATACACCGAGGACGATACGTATAAAAGCGCACGAAAAATTTGTACGTATCTCCCTCGGCTGGTGCTCCCGTAAGCACTGGATTACGTCGCTACGTCAAGTCGGATTCTAGTATCGCGCGGGCGGGCGGGCGGACGGGCGCGCGGCTATTCACGGAACAGTGAGCTTCGCTTCTGAAATCGCTTTATGCGCGATCATATTTCTTAGCCGGCCACATCTATATTTTCCGCCTAGAACAGGAGATATCCGTGGCCGGTATTAAGTTATGATGGAACCGTCCTGCATCCATCATAAAATCAAGTTACAGTCGCCTGGGAATACTATCGCGACGTTTCGATATCGATTCCGGCCGCGTACGTCCCCGCATGCAGCGCGAGACGCGCAAGACGCTGCATAAATCACGCTAAGTCGATAATCAAGCCGTGTTCGCCGGCGAGACAATGGGAAAGAGATGCGTGCGATAACGATAAAAGCGGCCGATCGATCCGTCGCGCGTCACCTCGTCACGCGTATCACACCGCCGGCGTCATAAGGCTAGATTATAATTCAGCACGGCGCGTTGTAATTTCTCCACGGTACCGGGGGCTGGGAATTAAGTGCATCGGACGCGGGAGACACGGTCGGCGCACCCGGTGCGAATAACAGCGAGGAAAACGAGACATTTTTCGCAATACTTAGATGCCGGCCGTAGCGCGCCAGCGCGAACTACCGTCCCCTATTAACGCAATTAGCGATTTCATTACCGCTAATTACATCACGCGTCTAGCGTTTCGCTTAATTCGTCCCGCACGCGTCCATCACACAGTGGCGCAACAATGATTGATACCGACCTCCTATGAGAGCTCCCGCGACCTGCCTTTCTATTTTCTCTCTCTCTCTCTCTCTCTCTCTCCTCACGCAAATCCGGAAAAGACCTGAAAATCCTCTTTGAAGTTTCCAACGGGAAGGAGTTTTTATCTCCGACGGAAAGCTCGTAAAGAAGTCGGAACGGTTTCGAGGCAGCCGCCACTCTTTTTTTGTACGGTACTTTAATAGCGCTATATCGCTCATTTTGTTACTTCGAATCTTTTAACGGCATATCTCGTACGAGAGGTGTGACGCGTTAATTGCGCTCTCAGGCACGACGACTTGTTTAACTCGCCTCCTCCTTTAAACGGACGTAATCTCCGATAATTATTTAAAAATATAAAACTCTACATTCACGAGAGGACGGAAGTCAAGGCTCAGGTTGCTTCGTGAAATCCACGAGGTCCACGATTATGAATCAGCTGAGGGGCAAATATTCGTTTCATTGATCTCAACAGCTATATATATATCCGTCGTGTAATTCAATAAACTACAAGTTTGAAGAGGAACTTCATGGGGAGACTCACCCGTTACGCTGAGCAGCGACATGGTCGGAGGGTTCTCAGTTGGTCGGCTTAATTTCTCGAATTGTCCTCAATCGGTCGATGGGGCACTCGACGTGGCATGCAGATCCGTATGAAGACGATGTGGCCTCACGGTGAAACACGTCGGTTCGGAGATACACTCCCTCCCTCTCTCTCTCTCTCTCTCGTATACAAGGTTCGTACAGGCTCCTACCCCCTGTATTCCCACACTAATAGTCCTTTCTTTTTCTCCTTTTACTCCTCTTCTATCTTGTAATCACGCTTGAGGGAAAGACGCTTTCCCAGAGCGTCGAATAAATAACAATATCTCTCTTTCTCCCCCTTCCCTTATTCTATCTCTCCACCTCTTTATTTTTACTCTTTATTTTCACTGTGCGCCTCTATCACGTACAATATACGAACGCGAGATACGTATATGCATGCATGCGCGTATAGATATATTATAGATAGATATATACGTGTGTACACGCGTGAATGCGATGTGTGTATGTGCGCGAGCGCGTGTGTGCACGTTACGTGTCGAGTGGTCGCGACGCACGCGGTTTACGCGAATTGCAAGCTCGCGGGGTAAGCTCGACTCGTGCGACCGACGTCTCCTCTCTGTTTCTCCTCTTCTCTTTTTTTTTTCTACTTCTTCACAAAAACTCTGTTTACAGTCTGTCACCGGTTGACCGCGGCCGCGACGGAGCGTCCGTACCTTATCGCCACACGGCTTATCTGAATCGGCCGATATACCTTCGCGCTCCTCTCTCACCCCCTCGACTCACCCGCCGCCCACCCTCTCCGTATGTACACTGGCCGCTGACCGTACGTGACACGAGTTCCTATGTGCTCTCTCTCTCTGTCTCTCTTTCTCATACACCGCGTTCCCCTCTATACCGGCGCGCGCGATGACGATCGATCGTAGAAATGACTGTGTTACACGTTATTACCACCGATTGACCCGCTATCGGCAGCCGTAACTGTACCGCGAAGAGTCTCTCTTCTTCTTTCCTTCCTTCTCGCCCGCCCGCCCGGCGGATTGCACGTTCGTCCGCCGCGTTAATCGTCACACTGTATCATCGCGTAGCGAGGCTCTTGGTCACGCGCAACAACGCAGTCTATCCCGGCGGTTGAGAAGGCGGCCGATCACGGCTGCTGCCTCGTTCGCGTCCTCCTCGTCGTCTCGCCGCTGACTCGGAGATGCTCGCGCTATCGGGTCGTCCTCGTGGTCGTCGACGAGCAACGTGCGGTCCGACGTTACAGCGATATCACCGGCGCGACGCTGGCAATAATAATACGCGACTGTGCAGCTGCTGCCGGTGGTCCACTGCGGCCTGGTGCCTACGAAGGTGACGGTGTTGTTGCTGCTGTCGATTCTGCCGCTGTCGTGTGCTGAGCGCGTACGGCCGCAAAGAGACAACATCGCCGTAGTCAGGTCGCTACGGGTCACCGCCGATCGCCGTTGTCCACCGTTGTGGTAAGTTCGGCCGAGCGTCTCTCGCTCGAGGAGAAGCGCCCACCTTGCCGCCACCGCCGTCGCCGTGCCTCTCGTTATTATCATAGTAGCGAGGGCTGCGATGGACGTGCCGAGTCTCGCCGCGCGTCTCTCGTGCTCGTCAGAGGAACGTGCACCAACAACGCCAGGCACGTCGTCGCCGTCGTCCCGAGGCGCGACCGGTCATCTCACCGACGGTGCCGTGAAAGAATTACCGGGACGAAAAAGCGTAGAGAGACAGAGAGACGACGGGAGGTTAGGGGAGGGAGCGAACGAGAGAAAAAAGAGGCAACAACGATGGTGGTGCAAACGGACGAATTTGGAGCGAAAGCTGGACGGAGAGAAGAGGGAGAGGGAGGAGAAGAAGGGAACGAAGGGACGGAGGAGAGCGGAAGAGGCACGCGGCGTCGCGAGAACTCTTGGAGAATATCACGTACCGGACACACTATCTCTTTCTCTCCCTCTCCTCCTCTCTCTTTCTCTCTCTCACTCTCCCTCTCTCTCTCCCTTTCTCTCCGGGCACCGCTCGCCGCTGCTTCTCACGTCGCTTTCGCGTCGACCGCGGCCGACGCGTAACCCGCACGCTGCTCGCCTTCACCACCCCGTGCGGGAGCAGTCGGCGTTACCGGAAGGAAGCAAGGACCCGTGTCTCACGCACGTAGGAACACGGTGCCGCGGTCGCGTGCGATGCGTCCGATCTGCCGCCGCGTTAATATGCTGGAACGTTGTTGCGAACGTACGCGGACTGCTCGACGTCGAGCACTGTGCGAACGGAGACGCCTCCGACACGCCGCCGCCATTTTGCTACGTCAAAGGGGTGAAATAGCGCCGGCGCCGTGAAAGCCGGCCAGATACGAGCGACGTCGGAGCCGCCCGATCGTTCCGGCGAGACCGCCGAGAGAACCCCGAGCCACCCTCCCTTCTCGAGCCACCCTCGCCGCCGGTCTACCCCTCTGTGGCCGACGAGCGAGTGCGCGAGCGAGCGAGCTACCTTTTTCGCGTTCGCCTTCCGGGGTGCAACGTCTTCGGAAATCGTTGCGCGATCACCCGGGCTTTCGAGGGGGTGCCGCGCATCCGCCTGCGATTTGCCCTACGGTGTCTCGTTCTCGCTTCTTGAATTCCTCCACACCCGAGATGGGATTTTGTCTCGCGAATCTCTTCGCGTCCCGTCGTTCTCAGCCGTGATATGTACGACGTCGAGAATTGAATCTACCGTAATTACGGCGATTTCGATCCCTGCGGGCCGCATCTCTCCCCCGTAAGGTTGAGTGATCCCAATTAGCGATGCTGCCGAGTCTTTACCCGAGTTTCCGGAGCGAATGCACTTGGCGATTACGTCGGCACTCGATTCTCGCGCAACGAGAAAGTGGGAGAAAATTAGTCCCGCTGTAGGTGTAGCGATGCCTAATCCCGATAACAGTCGCCCATACCAGTCATCCGTGATTACTTTACGAGGCGATGGCGATCTCCAGTTGCTTGGAGTAAACGCTATCCCGACCGATTATCACGAAAGGTTGTAAAAAGAGAGACTGAAACCGTTGCGTGCCAGTGCGATTCGATTTATACGCGGAAACGAACGAACAAGCTGGCGAACGAGAAGTCGCCGGGTCGATTCTGCACACGTGGGAGAATCATTTTGTTTCTCATTAATACGCCCGGCTACCGCGAAATAAGCAATACACATCCGCAATAATGTCCCGCGCCCGATATTATGTGTCACAAGATATTCCGGTCATTCGTATTTCAGACGGAAAATTGGTTCATTAGGATGTCCGTGTAAACCGTTTTCTCGTTAGCGTGAGAAAGAGTCGTAATGCGGGGGTTGAACGGCTTGTGGGACACGCAATGTCTGGTATTCGAAGTCTATCCGTAAATGCCGGTCGTGGAACGGCGTTACGCCCGCGATCGCATCGGCGAGATAAGAAATTTGCACGTTGTCATAAAGATACTCGATCTTTAATTAATTTCGCAGCCAACTGCACCCTCCGCCTCGGTGCAGATTCACCGTTATGCGACGAACAACGGTAACGCGAACGCCGCGCTGTTAGCAAGTAGTTACGTCGCGTTTTAATAAGTAGTAAATCCTGTTGACGCGCATGACGCGTAAACGGCGAGTCGTATCGCCGACCCGCACTACTGAGGGAACGGAGCGAAATTCGTTCCACGATTTCGGGACGAGAGATTCGCGTATGTGTCGCGCACACAAGGCAAAAAGTGAGTCAGAGACACGAGTTCTTTTTTCGCGTGTACCCCCCGTTCACGGATTCGGAGATCGAAAAGGCTATCCACGAAAATAATACCCTGAAGACTATTCATTCCTTGGTCGACATTTCTTATTCAGGTCAAAAATCACCAAAAGAGAAAAATATCTGACTCGAGGAGTGTCTCCGACGAAAATTTCACGACACTGAAAGCGCATCGCGTAGTTGTACGTAATTTCTGTAACTTTTTAAAAAGTGTCTCTGAACAGAAATGTCTAACTTGAAGAGAAAGAAGTAGAGACACGGTCATGATATGTCTTCTTACGAATGCCCAGTTCTATATCCCAAGTTATTCAAGAGGTCAAGAGAGAGAGAAAGAAAGAGAGAGAGAGAAAGGAAGAAAAAAAAGAGAGAAGAGTTTGATGTCTCTTTTTGTGAGAAACCGTGTTTTTCGAGTCTCAAACGAATCTCGCTGTCGCGTGAAGAGACCGCCGAGCAATTAACTCTCGCTCTCTCTCTCTTTCGCGCGCGCGCTTACTTAATGCAATTGGACACACGTGCGCCGATGATCGCGCGAGACCCCACGACGAAAAGTTCGTCCGGCACCGCCGTCTGGTATTTGGATGTAACCGGCTGGTCGACGAAGAAAACGACGTCGGTTCGATGTAGGGCGATTTCATTGGGCCGGGGTTATAAATAGACTTTCATGCTCCATAGTTATCAATAAGAGATGCGCCGTGCACGGTAGCACAGCGACTGTTCTCTCTTCAGACATCAAGGCGCGCCGCTGTCATACATCGACGTAAGCTTTTTATTCCGCGCCGGCAACGCAAACAATGGCTGTCGTGTCGTAAATAATAAGTGCCCGCGGCTTTCGGTGGGAGGGTGGAGTGAGCTTCGCTTTGAAAAATGCCGAAACCGGGCCGGCCGGAGAAACATCATGTTGCACGATGCATTACGCGAGACAATATCCGCGCGTCTATGCCGCGCGCAGGTACTAACGCCTTCGTCGATAATGATTACCGCACGTGTCCGCTCGCTTCACTCGGGTTATAGTCTTTATATATAGTTGCGATGCAATGTATTAAACGCGGGGGGCGTCGCGGCTGCCACTTTTACGCGTCGCGTGATAGCGCGGCCAGCGGTATGTAAATACTGCTGTTGGTATTACTCTAGCCGGAACTTCATGCCGTTAAATCCATCGACGTTTCCGGTGCTCCACTGTCATTCCCCCGTATATAATATTATACACTACGAAATTTCAGTCGCAACTTGCGCGATCGCCGGTATATAGCCCCCGGCGAAATTGAATTGCGAGCCTGTTGAACGGCGACGATTATATTACGATGCATTCGTAATCGGTACATAACTGCTATAGCCGCGCAGGGATCGCGTAGACAGGACGACGAACGACGGGAGGAAACGGAGGAGCGCGGGGACGGGAACTTTTCACGGCGAAGACAAAAAGACCGGGGAGGAGGGAGAGGAGAAAAAGCAGTCTCGCAGTATCCGCTTCGAAAACATTTTAACTCGCGGAATTGCGGACTTGCGCACGCGTTTCAAATATTGCCGACTCGACTCCCGTTCGCGGTCGTGAAAAGGAATGACAGAAGGAGGAAACGCGAAGAGAGGACGATGGGGGAAGGGGGTTAGGGAGAAAGAGCGTGAGGGAGTTTCGAGACCGCGTACAATGCATAAAAGTAAACGTGTGGGGCGTGAATATACGCGAAGTGTGATATTCACGATATGTATGCACGAATGGTCACAACTCAGCACGTATACGAAACATTTATCAGACTGTTGTACGTGGCATTTACTAGTCCATGCGTTTTCCAGATATCGTCGTGGCGACCGTTCTCGCGAAATCGATACAATTATTTGCGATAGAATTCGATTTGCGTCACAGGTTACTAGCGCTGCGAAAGCGCCATTACTCAATTAACGGCTAATCGAGGAGTTTTACGAAACGATTCATAAACTCCAATTTTCTCGGGAAGTTATTTCAGTTTCACCGAACCCGGTTTTTTCAACGTCCGGCTATCTACGTATATATATCTCGATTAGCTAAATCTCATTAGATCTCGAAAGGTTGAAGCTGCCTGTGGTGAATTTGCGACCCGAGGAGCACCGCTGCGAACGCTTTTCGCGACGATCGACAGCGCGACGAATTATATTATCGCTCGAGCGCGTTGACGTTGGGAAACGCGATCGACACTCGCGTTCATCGTGGCCGATTACATCTGAATCGTGCAACAATACGCGTTCTTACGCGAACGATTGACCGGTGCGAGATGCGCCGCTGGTTGTAGCCGTATTGATCAGCCGCCACGTTCGCTACTTCCGTTAATGCAGACACACCGAGAGAACGCCGATACCGAAATTCTCTGTGTTACACATGGACCATTAATACTAGACGTATGGCATTCCATTACTATATTCCGAGATACCTATCCCGGCGACATCGAAGGCAATCGTAGCGTTATGACATCCATTCGTCATCGATCACCGTTGAATTGACCGGCCACGTGCCGACAATTCGGACTTTATTCGGTGACGACAAAACCGTGAAGATTTTTTGAGGAGAGAGAGAGAGAGAGAGATAGGTAGATGGATTGTTTATTAATAATATGCATAAAGCAAAGAGAGAGAGAGAGAGAGATATGGACCTGTGTTTACATTTGTGTTATTTAGACGTGTCATCCATATAAATGAATTAATATACTATATGCGATGTATACATGAGAGGATATATAGGCGCGTATGTGTATGTGTATTTTGTGTAAGTGAGTCTTTGACAAGTATTAATATTAACGTGCTGTGTTCGTATAAATTCAGAAGGACCATAAATTTTGCATCGTTCCATTATTATGCTGTTCGTGCAATAACTGATCACTGGCGATGTACATTTGACCATTTCTACCCTCTGCCTCTTCGTTAGATAAGCGTCTACACGTTTTAATTGTAACGTGTATCGTCCGTAGATGCGTTTGCGAAAGCATTTACTAACGAGACATATATATTCGCACATTGCGGCATCGATTTGCGCTCAGGATCGCGTATCCTGACGTTCGGGGATATGTATGTATATATATACGTTTGTATGTATATATGCGTCTATGTACGTTTGTATGTATGTATGTATGTATATATGCGTGCATACATACATGCATCACCAGCACAATGAATTCCCTTCTGTCGATATTGCTCTTAACCTATAGTTGACCGGCTATCGCCCGCGCCTCGGGCCGATTGCTTTTTAAAAAATGCACGAGCCCGCCGAACGGTTCGATGCCGTAAACGGGCCAAATGGAAAATAACGCGAACATGATACGAGCTGCCATGTGCGCTTTTCGCCAAGCTAATTTTTTCAGATTGCGAAAGCGCTTGCTCGAGCTTTATCGGATATCTATTTTCGTGAAGCTAACTGTGCCAGCAAAAACATCAAGGGTTCTGTCCTTTTTTTTTAAGAATGCGCGAATGTGCTCCGACGACAGATTCTTTCACGTATTCTCGGAGGAAAGATGTGTGCACATAAGGAAAGATCGATATAACATATATTTCATGCTGCTTGTTAAAATTTGATACGCTTACTCTAAATACTGGCGAAGTACACTATTAAATAAGACTCGGGGAAGAGGATCATTAGAGAACGCTTACGTTATCGACTGTTTTCCCTCATTAGGTCGTTGGTTTTACAGGTTTTAACAGTATCTCTCACTTTGTGTCTGAGAGTAATCTCTTTCGGAAGAAATATAGGTTCTATTCTAACTATAAAGGCTTATTTATTAAAGTGTTGCGAGAAAACAATTTAAATAACTTATCTTGAACCTAGAGGATGCAACAATGTTGTAACAATATTCCCATATTTCGCGCAGTATTCTCCTATCTAATCTATGTACCTGCATTCTGCACTCTCCGTCTTGATTTCCTGACCCTGCATCCTGTTCTCGGCTACTTCGTCATAACATGCCGGATACTTGCTCATGGCACTGACAGTGGCATTGACACTCGCGTAGACGCAGCGGATTCGATTGGAGAAACGCGTGTTCAATAATACGATACTGATAAGATCAGAGAGCATAATTATATACACTTCATGATCCGAAGAAATATTTTAATCGGTCAACGGAAATGATAATTAATGCGTTGAAATTTACTCTGTAGTATGTGTATCGCTCGCCGGCTCAGAACGTAATGTAACAAGTGCGAGTTTGACCGCCTTGATGTTTGGATCACTCAGCCGTTGAGTGGTGGGGAAACAACGGTCGATGATTGACGCGAGATAAGTTTTTATCCATTGTCTGTCGCCTGTCACGTATTTTTCCGTGGCTAAGTGTTACGTATATCACGAACACAGTGGAGTATCCGAATTAGGCGGGAACAGGATACTAGGTTGGGAAGTAAAAACGAAAAATGCTGGGCGCTGAGACGCAGGCAGCGATACGTCATACATCTCTCTGATGCGTGACATTATTTATTATATATAATATATTTCCCATTTCAGACGTTTGACAGATTTAATGAGAATAAAATAGAATAAAATAGGAAAATAAGAAGATACCTGAGTCTGTCAGTTAGTGTCTGACAAGTAAATCTCGCAAAATGTCAGACATCGATTTTTCTGAAATTTTTCACAGTTGTTTTAATATCAATATATGAAGGCATTTATCATTATTTTTAGCTCATATTGATTTTTCATTTTTTCCGAAACTTTTTTAGTTTTACGCATATATATAACGCATTTACATATATTTAAAGCAGTATTTCTTAAAACTAAATCTACCCGATTTTTTGAAACTTCGAAAAAATTTTAAAATCAATTTGCGCTAAAAATAATGATGGATAGAAAATAATAAATTTTTTCATACATTGACATGAAAAACAACTGTTCTGTGAGATTTAGTTATAAGAATCTCGTTCAGCGAAAATTAAGAGTCTAAATATATATGCCTACTATTTTTTATTTAATGTGTTGCGAAAAGATATTTTGAAGATTTATCTGCAATTTAAAGATTACAATAATGTTCCTTGCTCTGTGTGTTCTTACTTTTAGTCTTAATTTCGCGCAATGCGATCTATTCTTTATATTTCAGACCAATGCGATTGCTTCGTGTTTGCTTTAAATGAGCGAATGCACATACACGACGTGCATATACACGACAATATATGTTTCTGTACTGGTACTTATCGACTTCTTCAGCGGGGACAAAACGTAGACAACCACGATGCAAAGACTGAGTTTCCTTTGATCTCAGGATCGCCATAATGCAACGGACACGAGAAGCTCGGCACTCCCGACAATAATCCACGAGATATTCACTTTCGGCAATAATTTAACGATTTTCTACTACGACCACGCGTAACTCTTTCGGCACTCCCGATAATTCGCGTACCGGACTTCTTCTTGGCCGGTCGAAGCCATTTGGAGCAACGATATAACGATACGAACTTCGAATCGATATAGGAACGCGTGAAGCATCACTTGGCACTCCCGACGACCCGTTTCGCGAGACATTCACTTTCGGCGACTATTCAACGACATTTTCCATCACGAGCACGCGTGATTTACTCTCGGCACTACCGGCGACGACATTTCGCGCGCGAGAGTCACCGATAAGCCGAAATTGCGAAAAATACGAAACGGATTCTCGACACTGCCGCAGCTTTCTCCCACGCGCTTTATAACTGAACATCGCAGTGATTGAGTTTCTCGAAGTGTACGTGCAATTGACAGATACACTTCACTCGGTATTCTCATAACCTATCCCAAGAGACGTGCACTTTCGACGGTTGTTTTACGATAGTTCGTCATAATAAACGTATGGCACAATATTCTTGATGATAATCGGCGTATCAGATTCCTTTTTGATCGGTCGAAAGGCGATGCGGAGGAACGACCTAATGATTCGAGACGTAACGTCGCAACGTAACGAACGAGCGAAATATCGACACTTTCAACAATCCGATCACTTTTGGCGACTAATCGACGTTGCCGGCGGCGATATTTTGCGAGTGAGACTCGTTGACGGGCTGAAATCGCGGAAAATACCGAACGAATTCTTAAATCGCGCACTACCTTGGAGCAATATATACGAACTGAACATTGCAAAGGTTCTCGTAGCCTCGACATCACCGGCACAACGAGGGTCGAGATTATGGCGGTTTATATAAATATAAATCATTCTTAAAAATCAACTCTTAAATATGCCAAGTCTACTCGGGATGACCTTCATATCCGAAATATTAAAATAAACGCGCTCACGATGTCATGACAAAATTGTATCGCTACTTATCGTACAAAGAGCGTTTGTTACATCGGAGCCGTTGGAACGTCCAAACGATTCACCATGATGAAACGTCACCGTGACGTCACGGTGGTTAGCGTCGGGTTCGACTCGCGATCGCTCCATGCTCGTTGCATCTGTTTGCACGTCGAAAGTGAATCTCGCGCGCGAACGAGTGCCGGGTGTGTCGAATCCAATGACAGGCAATCATTTAGGCGTGTCGATCTGTTCGCGCATTTGACCGCGATGTGCCTTTAACCGGCGTCCAGCGCGTCACATCGGCAACATGGAGTCGTACGAGATAACGAGATAAACGCTCTGAAATTCGGCGTCTATGCTGCCCTACTTCGGTGAGTCTTTGTCTTTTATTCCATAATATGCAGTGTTGCTTTAAATCGCATGTGAATTGCGTGCGAGTATTTCTTTTTAAATTCCAAAAATATGCACTGGTTCAGCGACAAAGAACAGACCTAATGATGCTACATTGTACGCTGCAACTGTTTAAACATATCAGTGGCCGACGTCTCGTAAAGACGTCGGCCATTATTAACATCTCGTCGGCGTTTAAGGATATTCCGCGCGACGTTTCGTATTCAGACGCAATCAGTGCGCCATATTTCTCATGATAATGCGCATCTCTGTATCTCTTTTCGATACGGTAATACTGAAGTCGCATGTCTCTCGATAAGTTGCCGCGAATTTCGCGCGGGCGAGTCGCTCGCGCCCTCTCTTCCTCGTTCGTCAGCGTGTATCCGTCGGTAATATCATTCTCGACTCGGGAACAAGCGCGAAGCGGGCATTACCGTGCGCCTGCGCGCGCTCGCGTTGGCGTCACACGTTTACTTTCGAGTCGATAACGACGTCATGACGTATCCGTATGTATATACCAGCGGTATCGGAGTCGGTGACAATTACGTATCGACTCAATGACGTGTCCGGCGAAGAAAGAGACAAGATCAGCGATTACGGTATCTTACGCTCGACCCGCGACGGACAGACCGGGAAAGTCGGGCGCGAGGAAAGCGGCAAAGCAACGGAGAAGTGACGGGGTCTCGTGGCGGCGGCCAGAGGCTTCGCCGTATCAGCGACAGACGGCTCTAAAAGCATCGTCCGCGTTCGTTCGAATGGCAGAAGTGCATCGGCGACTGGTCACGTCGCCGCGCTCGCGCGACCAATCGTCGTCCGTCGGCGCGTACCACGTGATCGTAAAAATCGAAATGGTGGACGTATCGGGACGCAGGTTCCCGTGCGGAGACGAAGGACGATAAACTGGGCAAGGGCCCATCATCTGTGTCATCGGTATCGTGCGTTAATTAGCGCGGGGGAACGTGCTGTACGCGAGGCGCGACAGTGAGAGGATCACCCGCGATTTGGAGCGCGTCGCGGCCGCGGCCAGGCCGGTGCGGATCCGTACGTGGTGAGTGCCGATCGACGCGTGTTTACCGAAGTGTCAACCCGCCCGTATTGTAACGTGCACGCGTGTGTCTCCGTCGTCCGCCTGGGCCGCTCGGCCGAGGAAAACGGAGTCGCGGCTACGTGGTGTGAGCTGGCCCTGCGAGCGAACAAATCACGATTGCTGGTCTCTCTCGCAGCTTTCGGTGCGCTCAGCAGCAGGAGAGAGAAAGAGGACGAGAAAGAGAGAGGGAGACGAACTGACGGTCAGAGCGAAGGAGCGACAGAGAGAGAGGGAGAGAGAGAGAGAGAGGCGGAGGGAGGGAGGTAGAGCAAGAGAGAAAGAGAGGGATCTCGAGATCCGAGACTCTGGAAGCGGATGCGAAAGGGAAGAGAGAGATCGTCGGGCTCCGAGGACAGACGGCAGCCTTTTCACGCGGCGGGCTCCTGCCCGCAGCAGCATGTCCGAGTGCACACTGATCCGCTCGCTGTCAGAGGATGATGCGTCGTTGTGTGAACCCCACGACCCACGGAGAAGGTAACTCTACAAAAATATTCCGAGACCGTAGCGAGCGGACGCCTTCTGGCTCCGCGCGTAATGCACACACGCAAGAGAGCGAGTAAACGAGTGAGCACGCACGCACGCACGCACGCAAGCACGTCTCGCAACGATATACATTCCTCCGCGGTGATACCGCGCGTTCCGTGCCGTGTCTCACGGTTGCTCGTTCGCCAAGAAATTCCTAAGACTTTAAGCTCGGTTTATCGTGTTGACGTTTACGCTCGCGTCCCGGACAGACCCTGATCAGTGGCATAGTCCATGACCCGCCAATCCATGCGACAAGACGACGACGGAGTCTCCCTTCCGCGAGTGTCAGCCGTCAGCTCTCGCTCAGGACGGAGCGTATTGCGAATAAGTATGCCGTTTGGTTATCGCGTGCAACCCTTTGTGTGTACGCGCGAGGCGCGCGATCAATTCGAGAGCCCCTGGACCGCGACGGCCGAACGCTGTTTTTATTCCGGAGCGAACGGTGTTTTTCTCGTCGCCGTCGTCGTCGGGTGCGCGCAAGAGGGAGCGAGAGAAAGAGAGTGAAGCGGTTATTTGTGAGCGCGAAGCAGCCGGAAAAACGAGTCTCGGGGGCAGAAATGGGATATTTTTAAGTTCGGTTGACTTCACGAAACACGCGTGACACCGCGACGGACGACGACGACGAGGAGTTGAAGTCGCGAGATTCACCGCCGGTTAGATCGCGATTGATACACGGGGATTATATTTATCCGCTTCTGCTTTTAATAGCCGCTTTAATAACTCCCTCCCATATGATTTAAAGTGCGTTCTATCTTGACGGGCTTTAAAATAGAGATGCAATGCACCCGCTCTGTTCATTCTTATTATGTTGAACTTCAGTCCCCCTTCAACGAGACTACATCGTGTCTAAATTCAGAATTGGTTTATTTGACCGTGTAACTCGATCCTTTCCTATATTAACTCAAAGTTTCAACTTCCATGCTATTAGATGCTTGAAATACTTCGAGCGTCTGTATATATATATTTATATTGACTGAATCTATAAGTAATATTAAATGTCCATAGTGCAATCCAGTGTTTATTCCTTACGCAAATAGCTCACCGCCTCCAATGGTCTGATTGATACATTCATGTATATTTTTTTCAGATAGAGAATACCTTTCTGACTTAGAAAAAAGAGCTTTGTGCAATACATGGCAATGACACACAGGCTCACAATTGTAAACTGTCGCAATAAATATGCTGAAATACTCAGGAGGCATGAGAATGTTTACAATGTACTGTGAAGACCTTGGATTTTTGTCAGAACAAGGAAACTAAGTTACTGCCTGCCAACAATAGCACACCCACGCTTGTCACCTGTTCAGTGAATGTCGTGATGATAATAATTTAATGGCTGTCAGGAGGGTTCTAATGGACAGTCCATGTTAAACACATGATATTCAAATAAAACAGGCTATCCTATAGCTATGAAATACTCCTAACTCTTAATGAACAAATCAGGAACAAGGACCTATGAAATTGATTGAATCTATAAATCTAAAAAAAGAGTAAAAAATATAATTCTAACGACTCTATTTTACTACACTAATCATTATTAACCGATGGTTGGAATACTCTATGATATTCTGTCCTATGAATCGTGCGCTATTCTATAACGGATTTAAGAAGGACCTATTATAGGAAGAAATAATTTGGAAGGGCTTTACAATTTCTTATTAATATGCTTTACGACCAGAGAAGAGATATACTTGCAAATTTTTAATTTGTCACGCAGATTTATTTTTAAAACTATAATGATACATGTAATTAAAATTGATTGACTCTTGAGACTTGGCCAGCTGCAAGTGTATTTTTGGCAAGAGTAAATTGTATAATACAAATTACGGCGGATGCTACATATTATAATCGATACGTGTAAATAATCATAAACACTGATATCTTATATTATTGCAAATTTGTAAAACAAAATGTATAATAATTATTTTAAACGCTTAAATCAGTGGTTGTATATAACGAGTAAGCAAGAAGCAGTAGGAAAAGCGGCATATTTGAAATACTGTATAGATGATAGAGGACATACTTGTTAACCCTCATAAATACAAGGTACGTTATTGAATTACATCGATTTAATTCTTGGAACACTGTTCTATCCTTATAATTACGACTTTAGGGTTAAAAAAGATGGACAACTGTGGATCTGGAGTAGTGCAAGTATTTGTGGGTGAATGGAGCCCTGAATATGAGGCACTATCCATTAAAGCCACGAAGCAGACTTCATCGGCCGAGATAGTGGAATGTATTATCGAAAGACTCGGATTAGTTGACGCTTCTGTTTCGAACGGCTATGAGTTAGCAGAAGTAGTAGGAAATTCTGTTGGGCAGGAGTGCAAGGAAAGACGACTTGGCCCTACTGAGTGCCCGGTGGCACTCATGTTACTGTGGCCGAAAAATGCCGCCCAACAGGAATATTATAGGTCTCTATTAACGTCCTGATATAATAGCGTTATTTGATCGTTACTTGCTCAAAAGTGATTTCTCATTAAAGCAATCATTAAATATACGTTTGTACTTGCAGGTTTTACTTACGAAAGAAGCAGCCGGACTATTTATGGTCCGACAGTAGATTTCCTATGGATCCTCAACTTTTGAAGGACTATTTCAACAGATTCCTTTATCAACCACGTGACAAGGAATATCCGGATCTGTGCCAGCTTCCAGACCTGAACGAGCAAACGCTGTTGGACAACCTGAGAGCCAGGTTTCTGGCTGGCAACATATACACCTACGTTGGCAGCATACTGATTGCCTTGAATCCGTTCAAATTTTACCCTATCTACAATCCGAAATACGTGAAACTATATCAAAACAGAAGATTGGGGCCGGACATACCTCCGCATATATTTGCCATAGCCGATGCAGCTTATCATTGTATGCTCAAGGAGAAAAAGAATCAGTGTATCGTTATTAGCGGTGAGAGCGGTTCCGGTAAAACGGAATCGACGAACTTCTTGTTGCATCATTTGACGGCGCTCAGTCAGAAGGGTTCGCACGGTAGCGGAGTGGAGCAGACGATACTCAGCGCTGGTCCTGTCCTAGAAGCGTTTGGTAATGCGAAAACAGCGCACAACAATAACAGCAGTCGCTTCGGCAAATTTATTCAAGTAAACTATAAGGAAAATGGAATGGTCCATGGGTATGTGTTCTGCTATGTGAGAAAATATTTTATAATATATAGTATGATAAAGACGGAAGAGATGACCTTTCAAATGCATTATACAGTGCTGTGGTTCAAAAATATCTCTTGGAGAAATCAAGGATTGTCTCTCAAGGACGGAATGAAAGAAATTATCACGTGTTTTACTACCTGCTGGCTGGCGCGAGCGAGCAAGAAAAACAGCTGTTACACTTGGAGAGCTGTGATCGGTATAATTACTTAAATAAAAGCGGTTGTTACGGGCTGGAGAATATCGACGAGAGGCACGAGTTCTCACGATTGAAACAGTCCATGGAAATGGTGGGTTTCACACCAGAGAAGCAGAGGCGGCTCTTCGCAGTTTTGTCGGCGGTCCTTCTGTTAGGTAATTACCGAATAATCACGACAAGGTGTATCCAAATTAACTCTGCATTCTTAATTCAGGTAACGTCGAGTTTCATCCGAGAAAGTCGTATCACCATCACGACGAGGCTGTAGGTGTTAAGAATCCTGAAGTAGTTGCCCTGATATCGGAGCTTCTCAGAGTCAAGCAAGAAACTCTATTGGCGGCGCTTACAGCCAAACGTGCGAGAGCTTCCGGAGAAACTCTAGTTATTAATTATAGGCTTCCCGAGGCAATTGCGGCACGTGACGCCATGGCGAAGTGTCTGTACGGAGCTCTGTTCGATTGGATCGTGCTGCAGGTAATAGAAACAATTTCGACTGCGAAAACAAACATGCTTCTCTCATATTAATCGTGTATGCAATTATTGTATACATTATTATATTTTGTTTGCAGGTCAATCATGCATTGCTTTCTAAAAAGGACACCCTTAGAGACCATCAGGGCCATAGCATAGGTGTACTAGATATATTTGGCTTTGAGGATTTCAAAACATGCAACAGTTTCGAGCAACTTTGCATCAATTATGCGAACGAACAGCTGCAGCATTATTTTAATCAACATGTTTTCCAATACGAGCAACGAGAATATCGCAAGCAGGGCATCAGATGGACAGACATAGGATACAGCGACAACTCGGGATGCCTCAATCTCATCGAGGGAAAACCGAACGGTCTCCTGTGTCTCCTCGATGACCAGTGCAAGTCAGTATCATGATCTAGGCACGTTTTAAACTTTGTAAGATATATCCGATTATCTAATTTTACCTCACAGTTTTCCCGGCGCTACGAACGAGACGTTGCTGCAAAAATTTAACACTGTGCACAAAGAGAATCCGTTCTACGAGGCGCCCCAGCGCCGAGAAGCGGCGTTCGTTGTACGTCATTATGCCGGCTCGGTTAAGTACCAAGCCGCCAATATGCGAGAAAAGAATCTAGACTTGATGCGACCTGACGGTGTAGTCGGAGTTCTGAAAAACTCGTCCCTCGCTTTCGTGCGAGAATTAGTCGGCGCCGACCCGGTCGCCGTGTTCAGATGGGCCATACTGCGAGCCTTCTTTCGCGCTCACTTTGCATTTCAAGAGGCTGGCCGAGCGCACAGGCACGGCAGAGGTACGAGTTGAATTATAATACGTTGTATCGGTTGGCGTCGCCGATTAATACAAAGAACTAATGAAAATCTTCTTTTCCTTTCAGTTGACGGAAACAAGACGTCCGTACAAAATAGATACAGAACGCCCAACGAGAACTTAATAAGGTAACGTTTGAATTTTCCATCGATATTTCTATTCTAATAGTATCTCTATATATGAACGGTAATAAGAGAAAGTATCGAACGCTTCCACCTGTAACCTATATAACAGAGCAACATATATTAGTATTACATTGGTAACTGTAAGAAGAAAGTGCTGATGTTGTTGCGCTTGTTTCTTGACTATGTTTGGTCTGTATATTGTCTCACCTACAGAGTATGAATCTACGTTGTGCGTCAATAATACATGCATCACGCTGACGGAGTTTCTGTGTTCTATAAATTAAGGCGAATCTTTTATTATATTTATATTGGCTATATATTGTCTTTTGTCCCTTTGTAGCCATCTTGTGACGTTGTCGGCCGTCAATCTAACTATTAACCGAATTGCGTAAGTGGTCTTTTGATCCACTGTATGTGTCATTTTGGCGAATGTTACATTTTGTTGACGCGTCCCATGGATTTACAACATCGTAACATGTTAGCGTACATTAATGACCAGTGAAACTCGATCTCGGATAACTTAATGAACGCGAAACACACCCGTGTATATGAGCCGTGTAAAATTTGTAAATCCATATTATTCTATTCCAATTCTGTCTATGTGTCTACAGGTTTTATTTGGATTTATGTTTGCACCTCTCGTGTTTTTAGCCGTATAATTAGAATGCAACATTTTCATGACATATTCGCTATATGATTATTACATTCTACCATTTTATGATGCTCTTGCTATTCTACCTGGGCATGTTTCATGACGCAAGACCAAGTTTATGTTCTATATACAGTTCATGTTGTAATCATCTCTCTTCCTCTCTCTATCTCAATTGTTCTCTTTTTATATTTGAATCACTCATCAATCGACAATATATTCTTCGTGGGCATCATATATATATATATATATACATATAAAGCTCGGTGCAATCGAAAAACATCAGGAAAAAGAAGCGTACCAGGGATACATTTCTATATATTAAATGATGTTCTTAGTTAAATTAATCGTAAGAAACATCGTCGATCACGACAACTAAGAATCAGAGAATTTTTCAGTTCGCACAAACACACTCGTCCGCCGAGTTATCAGAAGCAGCGCAGTGTATGCTTACCACCGACCGCTCCTTCCGCCACATTACCTCCTATACAAATCGAAAACAACGACAATATAAACAACAATCGCCTATCGTGGCCACAGTTTAGAAACATTAATCAGACGCAACACCCGTCGAACGTTACATCGGCGAAGGGTTACGTAATACGGGGCAGGGAAGACCAGCCCTATAGTAATAATAAATTCAGACGAGATACTCACACACCGCTAGAGAGGGTGCTTCCAAAAGACGAAGCGAACGTCATGGAACGCGCTAATCAGATCGTCATGTATGTAAAACGTATCTACTCGATACTCAATTAACAATGTAATTTTAAGCCGCAGAAATTTACTGCCCTTTACGAAAAAAGATAGTATATACGCTCGAATAGCGATATATCGGATGGTGACGGGTTTCCTTTTCGTAGGTAATAGTACTTTTGTAGGCAATTGATATGCAAAACTGTACCGTGGCTTTATTCTCACCTCTTTCTCTTGATTTCTTCAACGACATTACCGCTGCATTATTCTGTTTTTCTTTTAAAAAACCTTACTCTATGTTTCATCGTAAGACCATTTGTCATTAGATCTATCGTTTATCGTTCGTCGATCTTGCAGTCTTGTTCTAGATATGCCACTTAACGATGATTGCTGCATGCTAAATGTTTTTTGCTGTAATTTCGAAAGAAATAACAATTCTTACAAAGTATGCATATGTCTATTTAGAGTACTGGCTGCTGTTACGATTATGCGAATATATTTGTATAGTACACGATGCAAACGTAACACTAACTGATGAAATATCTTTGTTATCCTGATCGCAGATTAATAACAATAAGAGAATCTCTACATTAACATAACATTACATGTTATTTATACACTGTCATCATAACAATATTTGTCTGTCGGATGTTTCCCAAGATATTGGAGTAGGTATAGTTGAGCTTGCTATATTTCTCACCATGACGACTATTTTCTACCGCGTCGAATCACGCTCTGCCAATTTTCTATTACCTTGTATTCTATCTTGTACATTAGATATATATTTCCAATACGTATCGTTAGCGATAGTAGAATGTGATTAGAGTGTGACTCCTTCTCCTGTGCACAAAATACGCACGTGTACGCACAAGCTATCGCGTGTGCATTTACATCGAGCGTATCATGTGATATGTTAGGAATAAGAATGACAATTGAAAAAAATTGATAAAGAAAAGCGAGAACAGGAGAAGGAATGCATACGTTACGTGGCACCGAGATGATTACGTATTTTAGCACGGAAACCTTTACAGGAAAAACAAATCGTTCCGGCCGAGGGAACGCGGCAAAAAGGGTTTGAAAAATCTACAAACTGTGAAGACGCTCGCCGGGAGGACTCAGAGTTACGGTACCGGGCCCGGGAAGGCCAGGAAACAGCCGATGACAGTATCCGCGCAATTCCAACAGAGCTTGCACAGTCTGATGGACACTCTGAATCAGGCTAATCCTTTCTTCATCAGGTGTATCAAAAGCAACGCGAATAAAGTTCCGAACGAATTCGACGAGGAAACGGTGCAACGACAGTTGCGCTACACGGGAATGTTGGAGACCGTCAGAATAAGGCAGGCTGGCTTCAACGTGCGACTGACGTACGAGGAATTCATACAGCTGTATCGAATGCTGCTTCCCAAGGGCCTTCTGAGCTCCCAGTCCGACGTGAGAGACTTCTTGTTGACTCTCAATCTCAATCGGGACAATTATCAGCTGGGCACCACAAAGGTCTTCCTCAGAGAGTCCGAGAAGATCAAGCTTGACATTGAACTGCATCAACAAATCATAACGAGCATCACCACGATACAGAAATGGTTCCGTGCCTGTCTGGAGAGGAGGAAATTCCTCCGGCTGAAGAATGCTGTTGTTCAAATACAATCCTTCTGGAGGATGGTCACCGCGCAGAGACTCGCCCAAGTGATCCGCGCGAGAACAGAGGCCGTATTGCACATACAGACCGCTTGGAGGATGTACAAACAGCATAGTTGGTTTAAGAAGCTGAAGTCATGCGCGGTCACCTTCCAAGCATACGTTAGAGGCAATAACGCCAGAAAGAGGTTCAGTGAATTGAAGAAGCAGAAAAGGCCAGATAAACTTCAAGAGATCAAAGAGCCCGAGGAGTTCAAGCAGCTTTGTTACCGACATCTTATATATGACAACAAAGTGTGCGCCAAAGATCGGGACAGCGAAGAGTAAGTGACGTTTACGTATATTGTGCATGATGTAAAAAATATTTTCTTGTTATTTTTACTGTGATTATTATCGTCTTTTCTCTTTTAATACATAGGCCGTTTGCGGAAGATCGCAGTCTGACGGATTACGGTGTGTCTCCTCGGAAAGTCGAATCTCAGAACCGGTTGACGCCGGCAAGGTAGGTGCTGAAATTCTATATTCTATAGAAAAAAGAGAGAGAACCGTCGCGAAATTCATCGGTCTACTTGCAGGAGTGATAACGTCCATCGAGAGGGCGCGGTGGATACGAGCATCTCGTATTCCAAACGGAAGCTCACGCCAAACAAGCGAATCCTGCACGAACCGTTGAAGACCACGGAAACGTATCACTCTGATGAAATTGCGGAACGCAAGAGCAGCCTTGAGAGCTTGACGAGTCTGAGGAGCTACGAATCTCAAGCCAGCATCAACAGCTCCGAGTCGCAAGATAACTCGAGCTCGAAACCAGTGCCGAGCACGAGGACGAAGCGCGGCGATCACTCGCCGGTGGTCGCGTCGAATGTGAACTTGATGAACGCGTCCAGTCGGCTCTCTTCGGTCAGCAGAAGAACCGACAGCTCCTCGACGGGGTACAGCGACGGCGAGACCGAGAGCGAGACGCTCAACGTCGTGCAGAGCGCCCCGCCGGTCTTCAACACCAGCCCGCCGTTTCACAGTTCGCGCGAGATGAAGTATCACCCATCCAACGTGAATCTGGCGCACAGTCCGAATTCGGAGATTTGGCGGCGCAGAGTGGACTATTCGCCCGCTAATTATGGTGACTACTTCATGTTGGTGCCCCCGAAAGCGACCGTCACTCGTTCCCCGAACGTTTCCCACTATAAGAACGTGACCGACGGCGTGTTCGAGTCGACCCGACAGCAAGAGAAGCCGAACGAAGCGGCGAACTTCAACGTCAAGCTCGACACGAGCGATCGATTCGTACAGATGGAGAACTTGGCGAGCTCCAGGCAGCAACGTAGACTCAGTGACAACAGCGTACCTGATGAAAGAACGGAGAACGTTCCGCCGGCGAAACGGGACCACATACACGGACCTATGAAGAACGTGAAAGACCTCGGCTACTTGCGGCGACAGAACTCGGAAGGAGACACCTCGACGAAGGTGGTGGATGTCGCCAATGAAGACGGTGCTTTGAAGAGTTCTTTGATGAGGGGCTCGTCTCCGAAGGAGAAGAACTCACGATCGAAGGAAAAACATGAGCCGGATGTACCGGTGAGAAGCGCCAGACGGAACAGGCCGTCGAGGGAGGTCCAGTGCCGATCCATGGGCGAGAGCGTGACTGAGGCGAACACCGAGACGCGAAATCTCTTCCTCGGCACGATCAAGGAAAGCGACTTGAACAAAACGTCGCACGTATGGTCCCGGAAAGATTACTCGCACGAGGCTACGTCCAGATCCGTCACCGATTGGCCCATAAATAAGAACGAGGCCGCGTACAAAGGGCAACAGCCTGGTAAACGTATGAGATCCAACGCTATCACGAATCTTGAGCTAAGGAGACGAAACTCGGACCCGGCTACGAAGATCTCGGGCTTGAACGAGGACAAGATAGGTTCGGACACCAGTCCCAACGACATGAAACTCGCCCCTGCCATGAACCTTCTCGAATGGAAGGGCAATCTGTTCACCCTGGCCGGTCATCGCTTCAGGAAGGTCGCGAGATTCTCGAAGGACGACGTATGCGTGTGTTGCTCCGAGAAGATGGACGCGTTCGTGACGCAGGGTTACAAGTGCATCGACTGCAAGCAGTTGTATCACGTGAAGTGCATTCAAAACGGTGGAGTGCTGAAGATGCCGTGTATATCGGCCAACACACCGAACAGACGGAAAAATAGAAAGCCACCGCGCACACCGTACGACACTACGAAGCAGACGGTGGCGTCCAAGTTCAGTTTGACCGGCACCTCCGCCTTCTCCGACAGCACGGACAAGATCATTTCCGATGCCAAGGAGTTGGCACTGATGCAAGACTTCATTACCAAGAAGATCTACATCATGGAGGGGCAGGAGGAGGGACGGAAGCCGAGCGAGGTGGACCGTGTTTTCAAGCACGCTCTCAGGAAGTTCAAGGATGACCTGGTGATCACGTATAGCGTCGCCATTCATCAGCAAGGCGTGGAGGGCAACATCAAGTACACCGACTTGATCGCCAACTTTCTTCACGTTATGGAGACCGTCTGCAAGCAGGAGAACACGAGGGAAGATTTCCCGGTAACGATGGGTGTGAATGCATTCAGGGGCTTCATGAATGAATTCATGACGATCGTTAAAACCGAGGCCCCCGAGAAGCAAAGCAAGAGCAAACGGAAGAAGGAGAAGAAGCGGAAGCAGGAGGAGCCCATACGGCACGGCAATCACATGTTCCAGTTGACTATTATCAACATACCGACCGCCTGCGAGGTCTGCACGTCCTTCTTCATGTGGCCGATCGAGCGAGGACTCGTTTGCCAAAGTAAGTAATTCCGCCCGCGCGACACAGACGTATACTTTTCCACTCGACGATCTCTAATCGTGATAAACGTATTCTACTTTCAGACTGCAAGCTGACGTGTCATAAGAAATGCTACATGAAGGCGGCGGCAGAATGCGGCAAGGAAGGCTCGCTATCGGACACCAACTCGCGCAAGGTGTTCGGCGTGCCGCTCTACAAACTGGACTGCGGTGACGGTAAAGTGCCGCTCGTAGTAGATCGTCTGATCACGACAATCGAGATGCACGGTCTCTACACCGAAGGTATATACCGAAAGAGCGGCGTCAGTTCCAAGGTAAGGGAGCTCAAGATGAAGATGGACGAGGGCGACTTGGAGAAAGTGGACTTCGAGAACTATCAAGTGCACGTATTAGCTGCGGTACTGAAGAGCTTCTTCAGGGACATGCCGGAACCGTTGCTGACCTACGAGTATTACGACGACTTCCTGCACGCGGCCAATTTGACGGACCCGCACGACAGGATCAGCACGCTCTTTGCCATACTGAAGAAGCTACCGAAGCCGAATTTTGATCTGATGGAACGCCTGATCGTCCATCTGGCGCGAGTGGCGCGGCACGAGGTGGATAACAGAATGTCGCCGTCGGCTTTGGCCATAGTCTTCGCGCCGTGTATCCTCCGGACGAACAGGACGTTGCCCGCGCAAGACTCCCTTCAAGACGTGGGTAGGCAGACACGTTGCGTCGAGACGATCGTGCAGGAGAAATTGCGGGTCGTCAGGGCGACGTTGGCGGACATTAATACCCTGGAGTCCGCCTGTCACACGGCGACTCATAGACTGTCCAGTCTACGATCGTCCAAGATCTTCAGTCCGGAGGAACTAAACGCGGCCACTCCGAGCGTCGCGGGTAGAGGAGGCGCGATGGATCGCGACAGAGATCGAGGGGACGAAGAAGAGGAGTTACTCGGTCACATACAAGAGATTCAGAAGGAAAAGGCTCTCTTGACATCCACCCTACCTAGTTTGACGAGGGCTTCCTCGGATGACGATCTCCTCCTGTCGGCCACGGATTTGGACGACGGATCCCTCGACGATCTTCTGCCGCCTTCCGCTGGTAAGTACCTCTGAAATATTTGATCACGAGTGATTAGCAGAGTATTTTGATATAATGATGCGATACGTTGGTTTTTCCTGGAAGATCTGTCAAAGATAGCATTTTTGGATTGCTTCTTTTATCATTTTATTGTTACTCTAGCGAGCTGAGAGAATAAACGAAGAAACGAATTGTGCAAATAAAAGCATGCGCATATTAAGATGATTGAGAAAATGCTGCAAATTGCTATTTTCGAGATAAATTCGCTTTACATTAGTGGCAGGTAGTGGTTGGTTGTTAGGTTTAAGTAAGGTTTTGCTTTTATTAATCGCAGACGGACTCGTAAGGAAGAAGCCCATTCAAAGGCAGAGTTCGGCAGACAATACGTTTCCGACGATTATCAATATTGACGAGGACATGGTAATGGTATAAACATCGGCCGCGAATAACGTTTCACATGCGTTCTAAACGGTATAGTAGTGCGAAAGATGGTGCGAGATGGTGTCGTGTGTTAGGGCAAGGAATCAACGACCCCTATCGCTAAATAACTCATGACTCAGCGAATTATTAGTGTTTTGACTCATTAGTAGACGCAATTCTAGATAGCTCTCGTAATTTGTTGACTCCGTAAAAAAGTTTAACTGTGCGACTGAAATCATTTCGTTCTCTTGTCGTCGAAGCCAGTAGAGAGAGATGTCCGATACGCTAATCCCATACGATACGTGTGTGTGTGTATGTGTGTGTGTGTGTGTGTGCGCGCGCGCGCGCGTGCAAGAAAGGAAGAGAGAGAGAGATGAGAACCGCACAAATTTTACTTTCGCCACTTGATTTTATTCGCAATGCATTCCTCTTTTCGAAGACTGTATATTTATCGAGTATTCGTCAAATATTCATCGAATATTTAGGCAAGCATAAGTATTCATCGAATATTTTGGCAACGTTTTCGTTCGTTCGTAATAAATCGTCAAATAAGAGCTTTACTCGACGCGCCGCTTTACACGTTTTAAACGTAAGAAATAAGAATATAAGAAAAAAAATTAGAAAGTATTTTTAAAGAAAGAAAAAAACACTCTTACATATATTTTAATAAGTTTCCTTCCAACCATGTCGACCGGGAGAGTCATATACCGAATTGCTTGTTTTACAAATTTACGTTCGTAAGAAATGTAATTTTCCTCGCGATCGAATATCGGAGAGCTTTTCCATACGTAATTCATTGTTGCATCGTAGTTGCGATTCTCGATAAAGAAAAAAAAATGTATTTCTTCTTTTTACGGGAAAGATTGTTTTCCAACTTATTGCGCATGGATGCGCCTGTTCCTTTAGAACTATTCGTCTAACGTTTAGTAGATCTGTCACTTCAACCATCTCTTCCCAAAAGATCTACTTGTCACGTTTCGAATAGAATCGCTAATCGACTACCTCGAATTCCTGCATGATGTTTTATTGTTTTCCGTTACGATTATTCCGACAAAACAATAGTTGGTTACGGTATCTTCTAAGTACTGACGCAGGGATTTGAGGGACGGCCGAGAGAGAAAGAGAGTGAATGTGTATGTGTGTGTGCGTGAGAGGGAGAGAGAGAGAGAGAGAGAGAGAGAGAGAGGAGAGAAAGAAAGATAGAAGAAGATAGAAAAAAAGAGGAAACCAAAATGTAGTTTGTACATATTATGCAATATAACAATTTCGTAATAATCTGTTATTATTGTTAAATTTACGCGAGGAGCGTTAACAAGATTATAAACATTTCTACCGTCGATATTCGTTGTAGGAATAACATGTCGAAAATCGGGTCTCTACCGGTTTTAGTTCGCCGAATCAATCTTTATTCGATGCATTTTCTTTCGCGTTTAGGAACGCCTAAGCATGTGCATAGCATAAGTAATAACAAGAAATACACACACGCACATGCACAGACACACGTTAGATATGAGTACTTATGTACATACTCAAATTCGCGCGCGGAGTTGATCGAGCTGCTTCGCCCGGATTTTACGTATTTTTTCTTTCAATTTTTTCCTTTTCTTATTTTTTTATAGATTTCGTTTTAATTTTCGTATGTTACCGTCAACACGCGTCTTAGATTTCTTAGAAGTCGACTGTCTCTCATCCTTTTCTTTTTTTCCTTTTTCTTCTCGTGGCTTCACCATCTTCGTTCCCATTGTCCATCCGTAACGAATTTGTAACTCATGCTGCTTCGCGACAGTCCGAAAAATCGACCACGGAGAAAGAAAAGGGGCGAAAGAGATTTCGATCTGGCGTAATAGAAAGTCTCTATCCAATAAGGATAATCAGATCAGGTTCCCCGCTTGCGTACCGCGAATTTAATTGAATTCCCCCGCGAATTAATAGTTACGCCTGATGATGATCCTGGGTAGAATCGGTCAGTGAATCGAATCTACCTGCCTTCGTTTCTTCCCCCCCCCCCCCCC